CATCGGACCACCTGAGATCTCCCGAAGAACTCCTTCTGATCCGTAGATCCTTGCTGCCTGTCTCTCGATCGCCGATCTCCCACGCCTCCAGTCGATCGGCCCTGCCGCCTTTCTCGGAGAACAATTCTTATTCAGCACTTCTCCACATCCGCCCCCTGGTCGCAAGTTGTGTCGCACGGCGGCTCACTTCGGACAGTTCGACCTTGGTCATTCTCCAATTCGCCGGCCCAAGTGCAGATTACTCCAGATGGACGCACCGCCGACCAACCCTCCGGCACATCCCCCCAGCCCGTCGGGCGACGGCGGTTCGACACACGGCTCGCCCCGGTCGACTCATTCGACCCCTCGATCGATGCGATCGACGGCCTCCCGCCATGCCGCGGCTTCTTCCGACGCTGCCCGCCGAATCGCCCGCCTAGAAGATGAGCTGGCATGCGCCTACGCTTCCCGATCGACTATGATCCGCGACCGGGCGCGCCAGGACGACACCGGGCGCGAGCTGACCGCGAACCTACACGACTTGGAGCGCCACCGCTGGGCGTAAGAGGAAGAGATCCGCCGTCTCCAGACTGAAGTCAGCGACCTTCAGTAGAGTGCTCAGGGTCAAGGTCTGCAGCTGATCCAAGGCCTCCGGAATCAGATAGTCCAGCAAGCCGCCGAGATCCAGGATCTGGATCGTCGGCTGACGCACGGTCAGGCTCATCTCGCGACTGCTAGTGCCGATCGTGATCGACTGGACCACCAGCTCGATCTCGCCACGGCGGACATTTCGGACCTCCGATCGCAAGTTTCCGAGCAAGAGCGCGAGCTGGACGAGGTAAACCACGAGCTGGACCTTACACGCGGTAGCATCGATCGGGTCCAGACTGCCCTTCGGATGGCCGAAACAGCCGCGGCCACTCCGGCCGCTCCAACCCCGACGCCTCCCACCGGACCCACGCCCGACGTCGATCGACTGCAGGCCGCCCTCCGCCAGGTGAATGAGGAGCTGGATCGGATGCGTACCGCCCGAGATACCGCGAGAGACCAAGCCACCGCTGCCGTGAAAGACGTCGATCAAGCTCATCAGGACCGCGACGTTGCGCTCCGAGAGAGCGCCGATCTCCGTACGTGAACTTTCCGTGTCGCCTATTTCGTTGTTGATCGCCGCTCATGCCGTCGCTGAGTTACAGGATCGTGTCTCGAAAGCGCGCAACAAGTGATCCGCGCCCAAGACGCCCAATTCATCGACGGCCAGGACGCCTACACTATGTTGCGGCGCGTCAGCGATCGATCCAACGAGGATCTCGAGAATGTGGCCGACGCCTTATCTCGCGTAGTTCGGTGGATTGGACTTCGCCAGTGCGCGCCGACCACGCCTGTCCGTCGTAGCCGCAGTCGTTCCGGATCTCCGGACTCCGTCAGGCACATCCACAAACGTGACCGATCGGCGCCTCCACCACGCAGTCGGTCTACGAGTCGATCGCCCGCTCGGTCTCCCTCACCTTCCTTTTCGTTACCCGGCCATGACGATGAACTCCCTGCTGGGGGTCAGCCTGCCGAAGATCAACCCGCAAAGAAGGTGCCTGCTGCAGATCAACCGCCTTCCGATCTGAACGATCAAGAGGGATCGGACCAAGAAGAGTTAGGTTCGCCCCCTCGATCTACGCAGGAAGACCGGTCGGAAGAGGAGGAGTCGTCTCCGGCCCGATCCGCGGCCGGCGAGGAAAATTCCGAATCGGAGGGGCCCGGTCAAGAGACCGACGAAGAAGAAGACGAGTCGGAGGGGTCTGATCAGGAGGCTCTCGCAGCCTTAGCTCGATCCCGATCGGAGGCTCGCCGCCGTCAATCTGCCTTGCCGGCCCGTACCCACACTTCGCCGGCTCGCTCGCGATCGCGATCGCCCTCAGTCCTGTCGATCCACTCCCAATCTGGATCGGCTCGCTCCCAATCATCCCACTGAACGCGTCAGTCCCGTCATGGCTCACCTGGACCGACGCCTCCGGGATCCCCGCCTGGTTCCCCACCTGGATCGCCGCCGCCCGGTTCTCCGCCTGGATCGCCGGGGCGTCGTCCTCTGGTCCCGCCGTTGTTCCCGATCGGTACCATGATTCCGGGTTTCAACGCCCCCAGGGCACTCACTCAGACTGATACAGACCCCTGGCCTTCGATCCTGCTGGGACAGCTACAGATCACCGGCATGATCCTGTCGACGCTGACCCACCATCTCCACCTACCCGGGGGCTGGCTCTTCCCGCTCGTCGTTCGGGGCATTGCACAGCCTGCGGCCGGGGTTGGCTATCGAGACGACCTGATCACCGGACCTAACATTACCGCGCTAATGGCCGATCGCCCCTGGCAGGCGCTGCAGAACCCGGCCGATCCGTTGACTTTCGATCTGGCACTCCATCGAGGCGCCGGCGCCCGATTGGGTCGGATCGCCACTGCCTATCTTCCGTTCGAAGAGCAGAATCGCCAGGCCTTCTGGGAAACCACTCATTATCTCCCGATCACGGGCGCCCAGCGTTGGGATCAGATCGTCGAGCGATACCATCGCGATCGTCGTGCCCGACGGATCTGCCTCGGTGATCGGTGGCGCCGACTCCTCGTCGATATGCTGCCGATGATGCGAGAGATGTGGGCAGACGTCGATCTGTTGCTGGGCCCATTCTTCCTGCAGATCCCGGTGCGACAGCGGGACGCTGTGACCTGGTATCCTGGCGTGGTATCTCGCGCTGCGATCATCGGCAACCCCACCCAACACCATGCCGAACCGACTGACCTCCGAACGGCCCTAATCGAGGCCGACACCCATGTTCCCTGGCGGAACCAGTACCGCGCCCACCCCCAGATCCATCCAGCCCAGCGGATCCCGCGTCTCCGCAACAAGTTCAACCCCAACGTCAGCGCCCAACACCAGCCGTGACATGATCGCCGTCTCCACGATCGACTTCCGCGAATAGCGAGCCAGTCGACCATCACACCCCAAGAATAGGAGTGACGCGGAGGCTGATCTTCCATACGCGTAGCGCGAAGTACTCAGATTGATCCATTCCATCGTAATAATCCACATTCTTCCTTGATCTTCCACTGTTCCCCGTCAATCCATTCGTTGTTGATTCGATCGGCCAAGATCTGTCCTCATGCCTTCCTGTACTCGCTCCATAACCGTCCGATCTGCACTCACATACACTCATTCATTCATATACAACCCTTTCCTCCGATCAACGGCCTCCCCGTCGATCCGTCATCCCTCTCGCTCACCCTGGTGGCCCGATCTCACTCCTCCTCGTGAGACTGCATCGCGCTGAATCGGTTCTGGTACACGCGATCTCGAAGGAACTCGTACAATAACGCTCCACAGTTGAGATCAGCTTCGTCGACCCAGTCAGGCTCGTCGTAACCCTTCCAGCGTACCAGGAATTCTCGATAAGTCCGGCCGTACCGTGTCCTTCGACCCGTCCGCATATCCGTGATCTCCTCTACTTCGTACTCATTCGCATCTCGATCTGGGGACCAGCTGGCCTCCGGAAGTAAGACTTCGTCGAAATCGAGTCGATCCGCTGCGTCCACCGTGAGCGCGATCTGCGGTCGATCGGGGAAGTCCCTGACCAGCTTCAGCTTCGAAACGTGCACGATCGGGAACAGGTGATAGTCCGTACCGGCGATCTGGAGCTTCATCGTGTACTCGTTCACCTTCTCCGCAACACGGAACGGGCCGTGCCACAGGTGAGCTAGCTTCCGGGCATACCCCTCTTTCACACGATCCAGGTACAGCCACACCTGAGATCCAGCCTCGATCGAGTGTGGTCGAACTTCTTCATTGTGTCGATCGGCCCGATCCGCTATCGCCTCGCGCAGGCGAGCATTCACCTGACTTCGAGCCTGATCGTACTGCCTCTGGATCCGATAACGCCACCGTCGAGGATTCCGATCCCGAGTCCGAGTACTACCCAAAGTATCGTCGCTTCGAGCGTCGATCGAGGATCCCAACCATGCACCAGATAAAAAGGGGAGTCTCCACGGACTCCATCTTGAGCCGTGTTGATCGCGAAGGTCAATCGCTCCGCGTACTCATCCCAATCTCTCTGATCCAGATCCTCCACGAACATCTTCAAGGCTCTCGTCGCCGTCTGTACCATTCACTCTGCAGTACCGTTAGCTTGAGGTCGATATGCCATCGTCGCTCGCTGATGCATACCCAGGATCTTGTTAAAGGCGCGAAAGAAGTCAGCCATAAATCTCGGCTCTCGATCGTGCCTGATCACCTCGCTAGCACCAAATCGCCGGAACACACACTCTTCGTAAGATTCGGCGATCGTCTGCACCGTTCGGGAGGAACTGGCCTTCGCGATCACGTATCCCGTGAACAGATTGACCCAGATCAACAGTTCCGTATTACCCTTGTACGACTTGGGTAGCGAAGGTATGTGATCCATCGCTATGATCTGGAACGGGTATGTCGCCTGGATGTTTCCCGGCGACTCGCCCCTGATCGTGGGTCGTCCTTTGCCGGTCTCGCAGTCGACACATTCGCCGACGTACTTCTGCACACTTCTGAAGAGACCTCTCCATTGAAAGTGATCGCGGATCGGCTGGTATGTACGCCCGATCCCCTGGTGTCCCCCTTCCAGAGTGGAGTGATAGTGATGCAGGATGTCTTGATGCAGCGTCTCCGGTGCCACCAGTCTCATCAGTCCATCTCGATCTGCATCCGATCGCTTGGAGGGTGGGCAATAGAACAGCAGATTATCACCGTCGATCTCGTAGTCCGCTGCGAGGTTGCCATAGGATCGGGCCTCATCCTGTGTCAGATCTGCCACATCTCTCCTCAGATACTTCTTCATACCCGCGATCCACGTTTCTTCATCCTGTGCTCGACGAATCCGATCGATCCGCAACCCTCGCACGAACTCCTCCTGCATGACGGTCGGGTTCGGCCGTGATCTGGTGCCCGATCGGGTTGTCATCGGCGATAGTCGGGCGATCGACTCATCCGACCGGACGACCAGGATCTCGTCAAGTCGGTTCAGTGTCACTAGATCCCCATGATCGGCATCCTCCTCGACGACGACGCCCCCTTCACGTTGGAGTGCTGTACTGGCCAGGCTGTCCGCACTTCCGTTCCAGTCTCGTTTCACATGTAACAGCTCGTGATCTGGCCAGTTCCGTAGCTGATCCAGCACCATCTGCTTCAACAATGTCAGCTTAGGTGCTTTGCGGTCAATCTCGCCCCGTGCTTGTCGGATCACCAGGTTGGAGTCACCGCAGACCACTAACCTGCCTCGATCTATGCCGTCCAGGCGAAACCCAACAACAGACCATGATACTCCGCCTCGTTAACAGTCAGCCCTTCGGCATAGCCCGATCGAGCCTTCACCACACTCCATTCGGGTAACTACACAAGATTGCACTGTACGCGCCCCCGCCTCGCTTGACGCGGGCGGATCCATCGAATCTCATCACCAGCAGCGCTTCGTCCGCACGCACCGTCGGGATCGGGGCTTGAATCTTCCGCCGGGGTTCTTTCTTCGGCGCGATCGCGATCAACGCGTCGTCCAGATCCGATCGAGGCGTAATACTAGCGGCGATCGCCCCCAATATCTCGTCCTCTCCCTTGGTGCACTTCGTGATATCCAGTGTCCAGGGCGATAGGAGTGCAGCCCACTGGCCCAATCGGCCTTGAAGACCGGATGATCGGAACAGCCACGCCAACGTCGAGTGTCGGGTCAAGACCCGGATCGATCGTCCAACCAGCATGTTATAGCTCAGGTCCAGGATCCGTAACAGCGCCAGCACTTCTTTCTCCACCACATTGTAATTCAGCTCATTCGACTTCAGCGTTCGACTGGCGAAAGTAACGGGATGATAGATCTGGTCGTGCTCCTGCATCAATGCGGCCGAGATCGCCCAGTCACTGGCATACACAATCACGACCGGAGTCCGATAGCGATCGAAGTGCCGCAGGATCGGTGTCGTCGCGATCTTCATCTTCAGGGTCGAAAAGGCACGATGAGCACGGATCCAGCGGTCATCGGCTTCAGGAACTGATGGAGTCCGATCAGGGCTCACTGGGTCCGTATCCACTAAGTTCGGTACTTGACGATCCAGGATCTGGCGCAGATCGGGGCGTTTCTTCAGCTCGGTGAAGTCCACCTCGCGCAGTTCGTACAGGATCGCCGCGTAGATCGCGTAATCTTCCAAGAAACGGCTGTAATAATTGAGACTGCCCAAAAACGATTGCATCGATCTGAGCGATCCGGGGAACGGCAGATCGGTCAGAGCGGTGAGGTCCTTCGGATTGGCTTCCAGCCCGTCGTTCGACACACGATGTCCCAGATAGTCCACTTTACGCATTCCCCAAGAGCTCTTCTCCACACTGATCGAGAGGTTCCATTTATCACAAGCGTCCAGCAGGTGATCCACGCGATCACACAGCTCGTCCCATGATCCGGCCGTCACTAGGATGTCATCAATGTACGATCTGCGACCTAGCACTGATGGGCGCCCCGGATCTTCTGATTCTCCTGACTCAATCAAGTCCGAAGTGACTTCACAGTCCGACGATCGCGGGATCCTGGTGAACCCATACAACGCGTCGTCCAGAAGTCGCTGATAGATCTGAGGAGCGTTCTTCAGGCCGAACGGCATCCGGTTTCACTCGAACAGACCCATGTGGGTGATAAAGGCCGAGATCGCACGAGCTCGATCGGTCATTGTCACCACCCAGAATCCACTAGCCATGTCCAAGGAGCAATACCAGAGTACCTTGTCCAGATCCTCCAGCAGATCGTTGATCAAGGGCATCGGATATACCATCAGCCTGGTTAGACTGTTGACGAGCCGATAATCGATGCAGAGTCGAATGTCCACGCCGTTCTTCTTGATGATCACGACGATCGGCGAGGCCCACGGTGATCGAGATTTCCGAATCATCTTGGCTGACAATAGTCCCTTGATTAGCTCGGACACCTTCTCCACGAACTGAGGGGCAACTTTCCGGACACGTTGAGCGATCGGCTTCGCGTCGCCCACGTCGATGTCGCAGGTGACGCCCCGGGCTGCTGGGGGAAGTGCATTGCCCTTGCCAATCAGCAGGTGATTCCTGTGCCAGATCTTCTTTCGCAGCCGATCGATCTCCTCCGGGGTGTTGAACTTCAAATCTCCCACCTTGATATCATCGATCTTCACCTCATCCATCGTCGAGATCACAATTTCAGGAAGCACAGCTAATTCACCTTCGACATCTTCTGCTGACAGATTTCCGCCCTCGTGGTAATGGACCTGATCATCAGCGCCAACATCTCGATCTGGTTCGGATGCAATGAGGTCGTCCCGATTTGAAGTGGGTTTGGCCTCCTTTTCCAGCTGATCACCTCCAACGATCGACGAGTCTTCGGCAACTTGCGGCAGTCGTTCAGATGCTGGAACACCGTCGACTGCTGTATCGTCACTTGATCTCGACTCTTCCACAGCTAAGACCGCAACGGGGTGTGTCCGATCGGTACTCCCGCCCCCAAGATCTGGTTCGACGGCACAACCGTTGAACTGATCGGCCGATGGCAAGTGAGGGGACACGATTTCGCCCTTCTCGGCGGCTTTACCACCGGAATCCACATGATCTGGCTTCCCCTCTAGATCGCCAACACGATCCTCTTGCGGCTTCGCGTCATCTACCGGTGCACACGCTTGATCCGTGACCGGCGAAGGCTGGAAGTCCAGCTCCGCCTGTTTCCGCTTTGGATAGCATTCCTTCTCCGATCCGGAAGGTTCCCACACCGACCGTGGGTCTGGTGGATCTCCGACGAGGACAGTTGAAGCAGACGACCCCGACTCCTCTGTCACGCGATCATCGTCCTGCAACGGTCTGCCCCCTGATCTAAGAGTATCAACGACTGCCGCCCCCGGATCAGGGCTCATTGCCTCCGGTTCGCTTGTTGGATCGGGTGGACCCGTCGACTGATCGACGATCGGGGATACCTGGCGTCTCTGGAGAATGCCTCGGGGCGTTGAATAAATCTGTCGCTCGACGGCAGGTACCGGAGGTCCCGTTGGTGCCTCCTGGTTCGTCGGCCGGTCATCTGTCGTGGCTTGAAAGGCTAGATTCTGCCATTCCATGTATCGACGAGATCCGATCGACACATATCCTGGGATTCGGGGTATCCGATCTCCAGCCAGCCACATCCCGATCCGTTCATTCCGATGCAAAACGAGGTCTTTGTCGCTGATGTTGGTAACCTGGTGATATCTGATCCTGCCGAGTCCTCGGACCACGGTCGGCACCCAACGATCTCCACGGGTTACCCATAGCTTTTCTCGATCCGTCACCTTCATTTGTAGCGGAAGCTCGATCGAATCCCCGATCGCGATCTGCATTCCCTGATCTACACACACGTGTCTGACATTGTCGTTGTACAGCTGACGCCGTCCGCTAAGCTGGATCTTGACTTCGTCGGGGAGACAGATAGAGCCCGCCGCAAGATCGAGGCGGATCCCCGCTGGAACCATAAAGTCCATACCCAGGATCGCCTCTTGTCCTGATAGATCGCCAACCCAGATATCGAAGAAATACACCAGCAATCCCGCCAGCGTAACCTTGATCATAGTCCTTCCTTCCATCATGTACACGCTTTCGCCAATCCCCACACATTCCTGGCTCTGACTCGTGTCGACATAGCACCCCACCTTACGAGCAAAGGCGGTGTCCACGATGGACACTTCGGCGCCGGTGTCTAAGAGTAAGATCGACTTCTCATTGTTGATCTTGCCGGTGATCTTGGCCTGACGAAACCACTTACCTGGCGAATGATGTTTCCAGTACCCTCTGGACTCCCCAGGGAGGAGATCGGGCACCACATCGCCAGATCTGCGGTGTTCGCTGACATGAGGCCGACTTCGATCGCGATCATGCTCCGGGATCTCGGTCGTCACTTCTCCATCAGCTGGCTTGAACCATTCCTCCGGTCTGCGTTGCTTCCAATAGCCCCGCGTTTCTCCAGACTGGAGATCCAAGGGCACTTCGGCGTCAGAACGGCTGAAGTCGTCCGATCGATGTAGACTTAAGACCTTGGCGGTAGATTTCGCATGCAGATCACATGTTCACATGTATTACCGCGTAGATCAGTCCGTCCACTTACTCGATCTACCGTGTTCTTGTTCACGAATGCATAGATGCAGTACCTAGAACGCTCGGCTCGTACCGGATTCCAACCCGGCGAGCGTCCTAGTTTAACATCTTCTCGGCGATCGCGGGCAACATGTCAGCGTGCTTCACCGGGTTGATCCATTGACGGATCTGGTTGTAGAATTCCTCCATCGGACACTTGCCCATCTCGTGTAGCTCACCACATCCACGGCACACAAACAGGCAGCGATCCGCCGGATGACCTCTCTTGCCACACTTCTCGCACGTCAAACGTCTCCAACAGTCGAGATCGGTGTGTTTCCGCGATCCACAATGTGACCAGCGGTTTGATCGCTCCGATCCGTCAGGTGAAGATCGCGATCGTGGATCCGATCGAGGTGGGTCATGGTTGATCTGCGCCTGGTTGCTTCGATCCGGCTTCGTCGCGTCGCCCCCAGCGTTGTGGGACATGTCCTCGGCCGACGCTAGGTAAACGCGACGTAGATCACCCTCCGAGTCTGACCCTTCCGATCCTGTGTCCGACCCAGACTCCTGGCTCGCGATCTGAACCACACGCACTGCCCGCTTGGTTGCGGCAGCTGGTGCTGAGGTCGGAACTTTCTGACGATACTTCGATCCAAAGGCGGATCGCTTCTGTCTACTCTTCGCGCGCTTTCGAGCGCGCAGGACTTCCTCCAGATCTTCCGCGTCCGCAAGCCGGAGTAGGGTGAGCTGATCGGCCAGTTCCGGATCGCCCAGCGTCTCGATAAAGTGTTCGCCATGTTCTCGGCGGGCCTTGGAATCTCCGTCCTTGATCTTCAATCTTGCACGCAGAGCCGCCACATTCAGTCGATAGAGGAACTCCAACGGCGATTCATCTGATCTCTTGCGAGAATGATAATACTGCCAAGCGACCGATACTCCCAGGCCACAATACTGGATATGGAAACTCCGGAGTAGATCGCTCCACTTGTTCCGCGTCGATCGGCCCAGCTGGCGGTACCAGTTCTTCGCCGGGCCCGTCAGTAGATCAGCGAAGGTCAAGCACTTCTCTTCGTCCGTAGCCTGATCTCGCAGGAACGCCGATTTCACCTTGCTGATCCACGATCGGGCGCGGTCTTCGTCCTGATCCTTGCCACTGAACTCCTTAAGATCGGACATCGCCGAAATCCGCACACGCTGGATCAATGAGGGCCCAGTGGATCCTGAGACAGCGGTGGCCACCGCAGCAGGGGCCGAACTCGGTAGATCAATGTCGTCCGGATCGTATTCCCACTGAGAGAGATCTTGATCCGGCGATCCAGCTGATTCCATCTACACGTCCCGCGATCCAACGTGGTCGTCGACCACTGGAGTAGGTGTTACCACCGTGGTCTGTTGTTCCTTCAGAATTCGAGCCATCGCAGCCTGAAAGTAAGACTCCAGTTTGCCATTCGACTCATCTGATCCGGTAGCACTGGTGGACCGATCGGTCGACTTGGGTTTCTGCTTCCGAGGTCCTGATCGCATGCGTTCCTGATGTTGACTCCGTGATCGTGCGTCCAACATCGCAGATCCTGAAGGGCCGAGGGACATCCGTTGAGGTTCAGACGACGTATCCGATACGTGTTCTGCTGCGGAGACATAAGGAGACGACGATCGGTACCCCGTGGACTCCATCCGCGGCGACGACGCGGGAGCTGGCGACACTAGATCTGGCACCTTCGGGTCCGGACTGTCCGCGATCACGTCGACCAAAGGTCTCAACTTGTCGACCAATGTCTGGATCGCTGTCTGGATCACATCGAGATCCTGATTGAAAAGATCATTCGCTTCAAAGGCGCCAGCCACGAAGCCGGCTTCCTTCAACAGTCCGAGCAGGTTCTTCACCGCCATCAGCTTGTTGTCCGTCACTCGGGGGGGCGATATCGGGCCCTTCGGGTCGTCGATCTGCTCTGGCCGCAAGATCACCATGACGGGATCTTGACGCAAGAAGTCTCGCCGTTCCTTCAAGTGATACTGACGATCCAGGTCAGCCTCGGACCAGTCAAACGCCGACGGTCTGGGATCTTCGTCGTCCAGGCCTGGCGCTCTCAGCTTCTTCGTCACAATCTGGTCCTTGTCCGCGATCGCGTCCAGGTAGTCCGAATCGAGCCAGATCGGCGAGTCGGCGAACGCGTATCGGTCCGATCCCGCCTTAGTTTGTTTTGTTAGTGAATCTCGGTTCGCACCAAGATCCACCGGGGTCCCCGATGGGACCTGGGGAGGATGTTGAGGTTTGTCTTCTAGATCTGTCTCCAGATCGCCCTCGATTCCGTCAACAGAAGTCCTCCGAGCACTCTGTCGATCCGCGGATCTCGTTTTGTTCAGCAGCGTCTTCGTCGATCCGATATCCGACGACGCCTCTTCCCCTGGTTCTTTCTTCACTTGCGTATCTTCTACGGACTCACGGTGAAATTCGGAGTCACCAAGAGATCCAGGCACGCGCACTATTGTGGTGTAGCGGGATCGGCCAAAATCTGGTTAAGGCTTGATCGAGCTTCCCACCAGCGCCCAGACACCGACTAACGGAGGGGGTCCCCCAAGACCCAACGATCCGCGATCGGCTGAACTTGTTCTCACCTTGTGTACCCGTCGACGGGCTGGATCTGCTCTCTCGGGGCTCCGACGATGCAGCACTTGGTGAAGATCGAGTGTCTTGGCGTGACGCGGGGATAGTTTGTGGAGCAGCGCGGTAGTCTTCGCTCTGCGTCCGAGTATACGCTCCGATCGAGGGTTGTTCGCTGCGATCGGTCGGCCTGGAGTTGATCTAAGGCCTGTGGTTGCCTTTTCGGGTGTGTTCCTTCCTTTCCTGAGTTGCTTGCCGCTTCCTATAGCGGGATCGAGGTTGATCGAGAGGAGAAACGATCGCCGGCCAAGCACTAATACCCGGTCGATCGAGGACTTGCACATAAGAGATAGATCACTAGAGTAGGTCAAGCTGGCCAATGTATTAATCCAGTCTTAACCGTATCGCTAGTTCAGTACCCAAAGTGTCGACGCTGCCGAGGCCAATGTAGTTCCTGGAACTTGGTGATTTGATGGGACTTGTGGTCTTCGGTGCAAATTCTGCTCTGATTTATGTTTAGCTGGTCTCTCCCTAATGCTACCATCTTGCTTACCCTCCTACAGCCACACGATTACTGGATTCTTGTCCCGACTTCGTCCTCCATGTGCGTCCCATCCTGGTCTATCCACGATCGGCCCCGATCGGCGATCGACCTCGATCTGCGATCGGCGATCAACTCCCAATCGATGACTTATGCCGGTTGACATGCGCCGCCGATCCATCACCTTCTGTCCTCGGCCATCCCAGATCCGCGAGTTCTGTCGTCGATCTGGACTTGGGTCGGCTCCGAATCACGCCGCGGTTCGGGCACGATCACCCACAATCCGGCTTGCCACATGTCCTGCCTCACGCGCCGGCGTCATCGGACCACCTGAGATCTCCCGAAGAACTCCTTCTGATCCGTAGATCCTTGCTGCCTGTCTCTCGATCGCCGAACTCCCACGCCTCCAGTCGATCGGCCCTGCCGCCTTTCTCGGAGAACAATTCTTATTCAGCACTTCTCCACACGAACGTCTTCTCGCGTCCGAGGTGGCCGCCGCTCGGCGTGTCATGGAACTCGTGGATCAGCCGAGCTCGGAGATCGTCGTCCAGAGGAACGACGATGCGCGGGGGATCTTCACGGTCGACGCGGTACGTGAGCAACTCGACGTCCAGCGAGTAGCGGTCGACGCGGGAGCGGCTGCGTGGAGACAGCTTGCGCTTCGCCACGGCACCAGGGTCTCGCAGGAACTGGATCAGCTCCAAGCAGGACGCGTCCTCCTTGTACGCGTCCACGATCAAGTCACGGAGCGGACTGGTCGCTGCAACCTCAACAGCAGCGACGTCTTCGGCAGTGCATACGGCGCATTCGTCGTCGTCCTCGTCACCAACTGTGTGGCGACCTGACTGCACGTAGTCAGGCCGACGCGATAACGCGTCGGCAAGGATGTTGGTCTTGCCCGGCTTGTAGTGCACGACGAAGTTGTACTCGGAGAACAGGGACAACCAGCGCGCCATGCGCTGGGACAAGTGAGGGCTCTTCGTCGCTGTCCTCAACGACGCGTGATCGGTGTAGATCGCGAAAGTCTGTTCGCCGAGGAGATACACGCGGAACTTGATGAGGGCGTAGCGCATGGCCAGCAGCTCCTTATCATGGACCGGATAATTCCGTTCCGCCGGCTTCAGCTGACGCGACCGGTAGCTGATGACCCGCTCGCGTCCTTCGTCATCGAACAGCATCAAGGCGCATCCGATCGCGAAGTCGCTCGCGTCGCACACGACATGGAAGGGCTTCGAGTGGTCTGGAAGCATGAGCACAGGCGCGGTGGCCAAGTTCGACTTCACCGCGTCGAAGGCAGCTTGGTGCTCGAGACGCCACGACCACGTGGCGTCTGCCTTGAGGAGTTGAGATAGCGGGCGGATCGTCGAAGCGAAGTTCGTCGAGTAATGGTGAAGATACGTGGCGAGCCCCAGCCACTGCCGGAGCTGCTTCTGGTCCTGCGGCGTCGGCCACGCGCAGATTGCCTCGATCTTCTCGGGGTCGGCGCGGACACCGTCCTTGCTGACGTAGCTCCCGAGCACAGGGATCTCGGGAGCGCAGAAGATGCACTTCTTCAAGTTGGCGTACAGCTTGTTCTCCTTCATCACCTCGAACACCTTGCGCAGGTGTTGTAGGTGGATCTCAACGTCCGTCATGCCGTCCTCGGCACGACTGTGAATGAAGATGTCGTCGAAGTAGCTGGGCGCGAAGTCTCGGTACGGCCGAAGCAAGTTGGACACCATCCGATTGAAGGTGGCGGGGGCGTTCTTGAGCCCCTGCGGCATCACGAGCCATTTCCACAACATCCCGCTGGGCGTGCTGACCGCTGTTAGCAGCACATCGTCTTCGCGCATCAAGATCTGATAGAAGCTATCCATCAGATCAATGGCACTGTACTTCGTGCTGCCAGACATGGTGTCCAGCACCATGTCCTTCCTCGGGATCAGCGTTTGCGCCGGTATGGTGGCCTCGTTGAGCTTGTTGAAGGCGTGGACGATTCTCCAGCCGCCGGTTGGTTTCTTCACGCAGAACGTCGGACTGGAGTGCGGCGAGAGACTCTCGCGAATGTGGCCGGCTTGCCGGCGACTCTCGAAGAAGGCGTCAATGGCTTCGACTTGGTCGCGAGGAAGCGGCCACTGCCGCGTCACACAGTACTTCGCACCGGGCACGAGGTCAATCTCGTGCCGAACACCGCGGTCGGGTGGAAGAACGGCTGGAACCTTGTCCGGGAAAATCTCCATGAACTCGCGCACGAGCGGAGCGACTGGGTTGCCGGCCGCTTCGAACGCCGGCAACGACTGAGCTGCGTAGCGGGCTTGACGGGCGTTCTTAAGCTCGCCTCCTTTTGGGCGCGTCCTGGCGTCGGAAGCTGGGTCCGACGCACTGGTTGCGACGGCCGCAATTGACTCGGCGTCTTCAGCGACGATCATGCACACCTGCTCGATCTCGCCCTTCTTCAGGTCACGGAGGAAGTGTTTCCACGAGAGCCCAGGCAGCCGAGTGATCTCGGCGGCGTCGCACGGTGGACGTGCGACTTCGACGTCGCGTACACGCGGAGGCGCCTCCGCGTCGTCCCCCACCAGGAATGAGATCACTTCAGCCTCAGCCTCAACTGAGTCCGCCGAAGGCGTACGAGGATGGCGCAGGTTGCGACGTTCGCGACGTCGAATCGGACGTGGAGTGTTGTCCGAAGCTGCCGATGAGAGCCCATGCTCGATCACGGCCGCTGAACTGGGGCGCCGGGACACAACGTCGGCGCCTGGACGCGGGTCATTGGACACGACCGCGTCGACTTCATCAGGGAGCTCCCGCTCGACCACTCGCGGGAACCCATGCTCGACCGCGTGTGGGAGGCCACGCTCAACCACATCTTCTCGTACTTCAGCTTTGAAGAGCCGCTGCTCGTCCTGACGTGGTTCGACCACGTCATTGTCTGCTTCCGAGAACCGCTGCTCATCGGGACGTGGGAACCCATGCTCGACCACGTCAGACACGTCCTGAGGCTCCTGCTCAGGACCGGCGCAGGTTGCGAGTTCGCACACCGCACACGAAGGGCCATCACTCGCTTCGTGCGCAGCATGGGTCATTGAGTCGGGGTCCATGACGGCAACATGCGGCCACTGGTTAGGCGTTCCGCACAGAAACGCAAATACTGCATTGACATCAATGTCTCGGAGGCGGACTGTGCCAGTCAGCCAGTTGATCTCAGGCTGGTGGCGAGCGAGCCACGGGATGCCGAAGACACAGTCGAACGAGCCGCTCAGCTCGATCACCAAGAACTCCTCGGAACTGCGGAACCCGTCGAACTCGTACGCGAAGGTCACCGAGCGCCGCGGCGTCCGCCGTGGCTTCCCACCAGCGTACTTCACGATCATGTCGCCAGGCCCGTCGCGAATGTTCAAGTCCGCCGGTAACACCGACAAGCTCTCGGCGCGAACGAAGTTGTTCGTTGCGCCCGAGTCCAGCAGCGCGCGAAGAGGGCGCGTCGCGCCGTCAACATGGAGACTAAGCACAATCAGCCTCGTGTCACTGCCGGAGGTGGTGGCAAAGAGTTGTGCATGAAGCACGGGAGGGCTAGGAGGAGGTTCTGCCACCAGAGAACCATCTCTCCTTCCACAACCAGTAGAGCGCCCCGCACCTACTGGTTGTCGCCGTTTTTTTGGAGCGGTGACGTCGTTCGCGACCGTGACGTTCGCCTGCATCGGCGCCGGAGCGCGGCAAATAGCCGCGCGATGTCCAGGTTTCCCACAGCGGCAGCAGCGCATCGGGCGGGGACTGCACGTTGACGAGGCCGTTGGCGGCCTTGCTGATGATGTCGGCACCCGACGTCCACCGAACTGTTGAATCGCATCCACCTCCATCGGCTCCGGCTCGGGCACCGGGGCCCGAGAGACATCGAAAGCCTGCGACGCCGTCACACCGTAGTCTTCACGGAGCCCAACAGCGAAGGCCTCTTCGAGTGTCGGTGGGGTCTTCCGGGTCAGGTAGAAGCGCTGGTAGCCAGCGCTCATGCCGGAGATGAAGACGTGGACTTGGGTCGCCATGTCTACGGGATGCGTTGTGATGCACGACACAAGGTGTCCTGCGCGCTGGATGTACTCGAACATGGACATGCGGCCTTGCTTCAATGCCAGGAAGGCGGAGCGCTGAACGCTTTCATCTTGGGGCGGCTCGAACGCGAGTCGCAAGTCCGCCTTCGTCGATGCCATGGTCGGGAAGCAGGAAGCGTCGGCCACGAGCTTGCCGAGCGCCCACTCCTTCGCCTTACCCGCCAGCTTGGACAGGAGAAAGCGCGTGCGCGCGAGCTCGGTAGACAGCTGCCGAGCTTCGATCGCGATGTCCACCTCGCAGAACCAGCGGTTCAGG